ATGGACCCACTCCGCTGCAGCCACTGGGGTCGCTCCGTGGGCCCTGGCCTGGACGCTGCCGCTCACTCACCTGGTCCGGTTCAGCTCAATTTTACAGGGATCCAACTCAACATACTTCTTCTCCTCAAAGATGCGGTTTACGATTGGCTTCAGAACCTCGTGCAGATAGGGCATTCCGACCACCTGCAGAGGCCGCAGCAAGAGGGCGAGTGATGGAGGGGATGAGAATGGGGGCGCAGGAAGAAAGACAGAGCTTAGTAATGGGAGGAGGAGCAGTGGTTCCCGGTTGCTTAAATGCATTAGTAACCTCTGCCCTCCTCTGTGGAAGGCCTGCCTAGTTCACCTACGGCACAACAGCTTCTCTCAGCCCTCGCAGAGCTGGGTTTAACGTGCTGCCCTCCTGGCAGCAGACAGCGTCTCCCCTCGACGCGGTGCAGTGGTGCAGCTGCAGCGCTGTGTGGATGGTATCTAAGCCCTTCAGGGGATGTCTTCACTAAACATTTGGCCCTGTGATTCTTGGAGAAAAGAATAAACCTTTGTGGCCAGGACAAAAGGCCTGGGGAGTTTTACTGGCAATCAAATACCTGGACTCACAAGAGTCTAGTGAAGACAGACCCCTAAACTTAGGGCAACTCGTGGCCAGTGCACACCGCGGCAGATCAACAGCTTCCTGCATCCACCGCCTCCTCCACAGACAGGGACAGAGACGTGCTCCAGGCCACACAATTGGAATTGAGCTAGCCAGCTCCTGGCTCCCAGCCCTGGCGTTACTTCACATGCTGCACAGGGAGGGTTGGGGCAAGGCTATGGCACACGTCAGAGTTGCTGACACTAGGGATGTAATAGTGCCGTCAATTAACCGATGAACCAATAAGCAAAAGTGCATAGGTTAATGCTATAGAGTACGTGCATTTCCCCGCCTCCCCCACCAGTGCATTTTTAGCAGGCTAGGAGCCCAGCTGTGGCTCTGCATTTAAAGTGCATTAGGAGCCAGGCGGCCAGGCAGCCCGGTTCAGTTCTGGCTCGTGCTGGGTTTAGGAGCTCAGCCCCTCCCCTGGACAGGGGCTGCTGCCACCCTGTGCTGCTGCCTCTGTATCAGTTCGGCTGAATTTTACCAGCTCCCACCTTGCACTGATCCAGAGGCAGCAGTGCGGAGCGGGGCTGCCCCGCTCCCAGGGACTACGGAATAGTCCAGTAACTGAGGCCAATCCATTACCGGATATCTAACATCCCTAGCTAACACCAACTTCCCTAGAATCCACTAGGTCGCTCTCCACTGCACTCACCTTCATAAACTGCTCCATGGATTTTA